TAAAAAAAAAAAAAAAAAAAAAAAAAAAAAAATTTACAACTACAATTTGAAAGTGACACCATTAGTGAATACCCACATCAAACAATAAGATAAGATTTAGAAGCAGATACTACTGAAAAAATTTAAAAAAGCTGAGTAGATAGTACTGGCTAAATATTCTTTGTGCCCTTTTAATTTATAAAAGCAACATTTAGATTAGTTGATCAACAATCCACTTGTGAATACCATGGAACAAGAGTCTTTCCATCTGACTCCATCTTACAAACCACAGATGGACTGCAGAAAATAAACAGAAAAAGTTCTGATTACAGGGCCAGATATTTAGCTCAATGGCACTATGCCTGCCTTGTAAGCCCAAGGTCCTGAGTTCAATCCCCAGTACCGGAAAAATACAAAAAAGTTCTGATTATATATGGTGGGATAGATAGGTCTTGAGAAAGTTAGTAATACAAGATAGTAACAAACCATTTCAGCATAAGTCTGGTCACTGAAATAACTTGTTAATTTACAGGTCTGCAATTGTGAGTGCCAACATAAAAATTACATTCCACTGAGAGAATTTAAATACACACAGATGTACCTGAGACACCGAGGTTTAAAACAATACCACACCGTATGTATATATTTAAGCATACATTTGGTAAGACACTAATAAAGTGAAATTATGACATCGAGTAAAAAGATAATTACATTTTCTGACTACGCACATGTTAATAAAATCCTGTATAATTATTTTTTGTTTGCTATTAGCACTTTTTAAACTGCACTCAATAAGACAGTTAAACTACACAGCATACTAGTAGCCACACAAAAGAGGAGACATGATTTTTCTAAAATGAAATAGCACAAATACGGTGTGAGAAGTTCTGAGGTTGAAATAAGAAAATAAAATTACTAGTCATAAAATGATACAATATTTCATCAGAAGTTTCAAAAATATACTAAATTGAAGAAGAAAGTGAGACTCTGTAAGTTATCTTAAAATCATATTTAGAAATATAAATTTCACCTTCTGCTTAATGTTTAAAAAGGGAAAAGAGGGCCAGGGATTTAGCTCAGTGGTTTTGCCACCTGCCTCATAAAAAGGGAAAAGTAAACTTTCATTTAAATAGTTCATTAAGACACAAAAACAGTTCACAAAAGGCAAAGAAAAACAAAACACCATCAAATAACAAGCCGCTCCAGGCCCCTGGGTAATACCTTCGTCAGGACATGGAAGATGTAGGGGTACATCAGCCCCTTCTTGTGCCTGTGCTCCGCCACTCTCAACACCTCAGGCGCAACAGGGGGCAGGGGAGGTGTGGTGATGTCCATGTGGTTCCTCGTGGGCATCGACAGCAGGCATGGGATTGGCTGGACAGTGCCCATCTGGCTCCCTTTGCCTTCAGCTAGCTGGCTTCCTGAAGAAGCAGAGGATGAGCCTTCTGCCTACAAAGCAAAGGGAAGGACACAGGAAAATTGAGTTTGTGTCACTTTTCCATTACTGTATCTCAAGTATGCTAGGTGCTTGTCCAATCTGGCAACCACGGAGAGTGAAAATGAATCCTGTGTAGGGATTAGTTCTAGCGTCATGACAGAGACTCGAAAGTACCCTATCCCTTCCCCTACCTGGACCACCCTGCATACAGAAACGCCACTGACACCCCTCTGCCTCACAGGACAGTGTGTGTGCGTCCCACCCACTGTGTCTCTCTGCATGCCTATGTGTGTGGGAAGAGGGCTGAGGAGGACTCATCGCAGGAAGTGGTCCTACCCCCGACAGTTCTTCCCTTAAGGCCTCCAGCTATCCATAGCTACCTCACTGACCTGTTTGATTCTTGTTCACTTCCCTTGCCTTTCTGCTTTTCTCAAGATCTTGCTAATATCACTACAGATGAGGAAACTAACACTCAAGGTTATGCAATTTGACTACCATCATAACACCAGCAGCTCTTAGAATTGGATTTGGGGCGGGGGGCCGGGGATCGAACTCAGGACCTTGCACTTGATAGGACAGGCGGCAAAACCACTGAGCTAAATCCCCAGCCCATTTAGAACTAGATTTTTATGGAGCTCTGATCCATGTTCTGCTCTTTCCTGCCAGCTGTTTTTTGTTTTTTTTTGTGTGTTTTTTTTAGAGTGTATCACTATGTGGTTCATACTGCCCTGGAACTCACTATGTAGCCCAGGCTGGTATCAAACTCACAGTGATCTTCCTGCCTCAGCCTCCTGAGTGCTGGGATTATAGGCATGCACCACCATACCCAGCTCCCAGCTCACAGTTGGTTTTTTTGTTTTGTTTTGTTTTTGGTACCGGGGATCAAACTCGGATCCTTGTGCTTGCGAGGCAGGCGCCGGAACCACTGAGCTAAATCCCCAGCCCTCACAGTTGGTTTTTAAAAGAACAAAACCCTGCTGGGTATAATATCACATGCCTATAGCCCCAGCTGAGGTAAGGAGATCACCTGAGCCTGAGTCTGGGGTCAGCCTGGCCAATATAGCAAGATTCCATCTCTGAAAAAAGAAGAAAAGAAAACTCAAATTCAAGTATTCTCTGTAGTCACTATAAAAACTCAAGTCAATTATATCAAGCAAAAATCAAAACAAAACAAAAACAACAACAAAAACCTAACCTCATCTCATCAAATACTATGGCTCAGATCTACAAACATGGACACAGAAAGATGTGCACAACAGCATCATATATTGATAGAAAATACCTGTTCTGTGACAATCACCCACATGGGATGTGTGCACAGAACATGACAGCAGTTCACTGCCAGCCAGAGGCACTGGGAGAGGAGAGAAAGGACAAAGGGAGACACATGTTAGCACTGTCTGAATCAGCTGAATAACTAACCATGAGCAATTATTATTTGTACAATAAAACTTTTTCTTGATTAGAATAAATGTTGGACATGAGAATTGCTTATTGTTTCCTTTAGTGCAACCCAAAGAAATATACACTCTTCTGTTTTGGAATAAAATAAAATGTCTTCTTTCTACTGATATGCAATTAAGTGCTTCATTTTATCCTGTAATACCCAAGTGCCAAAATTAGTCTTATGAAGAAAATCTCATGGTAACTTCAGAGTTTTCTACACTTTCCCTCTGCCAGAAGGATATAGATGCAAAACAACTCAAAGTGCTTTGGAGATAACTTTGAAAAGAACAGGTATTCACAATGCTCATTTGCAACTCAGTGAGTTTCTAATATGCAGACAATTCTGTTTATAAAACCAACTTTCCTACAGGAGTCCTGTTCCTTCTCAAGAACACAGGAGAAAGATGTGACTTGCAAATTAGCAAGATAACCCTTGGGATCACACACACACACACACACACACACACACACACACACACACACACCCGGTACTGGGGATCAAACTTAGGACCTTGCGCTCACGAGGCAGGTGTGGCACCACTGAGCTAAAACGCTGGCCCTAATTTTTTTTTTTTTTTGAGACAGGGTCTCACTATGTAGACTATATAGTTTAGGCTGGCTGGTCTTGAATATACTATGTATCCCAGATTGGCCCTGAATTCTCAGCAATTCTCCTGCCCTAGCCTCCTGAGTTCTGGGATTAAGGCATGCACTATCACATCTGGCTAGTGATCACTATTAATAGGCAGCCCTAGGTAAGAAGGGAGAAATAAAATTTAGTTTATTTTAATTTTTAAAGTACTTATCCCAGGGGCTTCCTCTGTTAATTCTCACAAAAACGCCTTTAAAAAGGTAGCTCAGGGCTGAGGATTTAGCTCAGTAGTGCCACCACTTGCTTCTCAAGCACAAGGCCCTGAATTTGATCCTCTGCACCAAAAAAAAAAAGGTAGCTCAGGACAGCTTGTCCAAAGAGGAAGGAGGTGTGCAGGTGTCTCTAACTCCCTAAGATAGGCAGGCTGAAGGCAACCCTTAACTCTTCCTTTCCCCTTTTCTCCTCTCTGGAAAGGTGTGTGTGACTGATGATGCTTAAAAGAGAGGGTATTTTTCTTTAAACCAGCACCAATACTACACACCTAGAGTCAGAACTTAAAGAACAGAAAGTATAGACATTATACCTTTGCTTGGTCTCCTAGGTCTCCCCGTGACTGTGGCTCCACATGGCTTCCGGTCTTCTCCCAGCCAATCTTGTTCCCGCTGATGTGGCTGAACATGAAATGAACATAAGCACTGGTTATTGTGGATCATTATCCCAAACAAGTTCATGATGGTGAGAAGGGCCCAAACTAAGCCTGCAGACTCTTAATTAGCAATATTTTTTAAATGCTTTATTAATCTTATGTTCTCCACAAGAAATTATTTCTAGAAATAATTCTATTGTAAGAATATTTCTTCCTGCTTCAAATGGATAGTTGAGATGTTCAAAGATGATCAAAGGTGGAGTGTTCAGTATGTTGGAGGATGCAGAGGAAACAAAGGCAGGCCTTGCACTGAAAGAGCTTTCGGGAAATAAGGTGAAGACTCACCATCTTTGAAGTGACAGACTCAGGAGAGGTAAGAGTCAGTGTTTCCCGGCATACTTTATAAATAAGTGCAAGATGACAACACACAAACCGCACATCCAGTCTGTTCACGGAAAGAGGTGATGAGGTGAGGCTGGGGATGAACAATCAGAAAGGTGGGAAAGTGCACTGCAGGCAGGAGGAGATGGATGACCTCACTGTGTTCAGAGAGCAGGCAGTTAAGGAAACTTAGCTGGGGAGCAGCTTTATTTGACAAAGTAGTAAAAAAGCACAGTAGAAAAGAGATGGGGCAGCCAAAAATAAGGCATTTCAACAGCATCTGTGAAATAGCACTATGACTTTCCTAGTGCCTATGAAAATAATTTAGTAGGTTTAATCAGTGTTAGAAAAACTTGAAATGGAAAAGACCAGGATGAATAATCTGAGTAAATAATTTCATAAATTCCAAATGCTGCCAGGCATAGTGCACAAACCTATAATCCAAGCACTCAGGAGGCTGAGGAGTTTGAGGCCAGCCTGGGTTACACAGTGAGTTCAAGACCATCCTGGACTACACAGTGAGACACTCTCAAACACTCAAACACATACACACACACACACACACACACACACACACACACACACACACACACACACACACACACACACACACACACGAGAAGCAACAACAGACCATTCCACCTCTGGCAAGTCAGCCCTGGGCAGCCAGGGAACCCACCAGGAAGAGATGGCCTTTGAAGGTTGTCAGAAAGCTACTAGAAAGCCCTCAAATTTTTGGAAGGAAGAAAAATAACTAAACTGTAATAAAGGAAAAAGACACACATTTCAGGAGTGTATTCCCTGGGAAAACAGATCAAGTGGAGCTGAATGAAATTCTTTATTCTATATTAAAAACTAAATCAATGTTTTTATTTTATATTGCTTCAACAGTTAAAAAAAAATTTTTTTTTTTTTTTTTTTTTTTTGATACCAGGGATTGAACTCAGGTCCTTGCACTTGCAAGGCTGGCAGCAGAACCACTGAGCTAAATCCCAGGCCCTCAACAGTTAATTAAGTAAGTGTTAACTATCATTTATTATGCACACCCAGCAGCTTATATACCCTACAAACAACTCAGCAGACATCTTGCCTATGTGAGAGTACACAAAACTATGGGCTTGAAGCCACAGAACTACAACCTGAAACACCAGACTGGACCCTGGAAGGCAGGCTCCTGACAGCAAGTAGGTCACAGGCCAGAAGCCTGGACATTGACATCCAACAGTCCCCCTTCCTAGGCTCATCTTCACAGCCCAGATGTGGCCCTACATGAGTCACACATCATTAACATGAGTTAATGGGGGAGGAGGGACGGCAAAGTATATGCAAGAGCAGCTAGCACCCCACATACAAAATCAACAATACATATTGGCATACTCCATGGCACTGGGCTCTCTACTAAAGACTCACATATTAGTGTTCAAGAAAATGAAATATATCTGTACGAAGTTGAAAAGTTAATATTTTCTCTGAATGGGACTTTTATATATCCATTTAAAAACAGCAACATTAAATACACACATACATTTACATGCACAAATAAGTACAGTATACACATAAACTTATATAGGCATATTAAATATAAAAGGAAAATGGGCAAGTTGCTGTCCCTATAAGGACTCATTTATACAAAAGCTATATTTTAATATAAGCAGAGAAAAATAAGGTATTTTAATATTTATCACTGTTGAATATAGATACTTCTTTAGAGGTGAGATCAAGAGGGATTCTTTATATTACATTATCTAATGTCTGAATTCCATGTATCACTGCATCCAGATGGTAATAAGAAAAATGAAATCTATGAATTTTTTTTGGTACCGCAGATCAAACTTGGGTCCTTGCGAGGCAGGGGCCGGAACCACTGAGCTAAATCCCCAGCCCAAGGTGCCTGCAACTCTTAAGACACAGGAAGACAAAGCTGAGGGGCAGGAGCAACCTGCCAAGGAAGGTGGGACTCCTGCGTGGCTCCCTCTCCATGGTATATGTTCAAGAACAAATGTTTCAAAGATTTATGATTTTTTAAAAAGTTAACTTTTTATGTTTAAATGGCATTCCTTCAGTCTTCTTAGGATGAGTATCTTTCTACGTGTTAGTGATACCTGTGTTTCCTTTGAATTGCATGTGTTTGTCTTTTGCCATTTAAAATATTTTAATTTTTTTTAATTTATAGGAAGCTTTTATTTTTCTGGTTGTCTCTTTTATTTCATAACAGTCCGAGTTACCCATCCCTAACACCCTATAAAAAATAAAAGCCACTGATTTACTGTTGGGGAACTGGGTCATTTACATTGTCTGTCATCCCACATTCTAAATTTAGTTATTGCTTCCTTGCGAGATCATTTAACATACACTGTAGAAACTGTAGAAACTGACTCTCTGCACCTATCTGTCCCATACAGTGGGTACTGGGCACACTGTAGCCGATCCAGGAGCAAGTCTATCAAAACCTTTACATCCACGCTGGGGACTTAGCTCAAGGGTTCTGCCACCTGCCTCACAAGTGCAAGGTCCCAAGTTCAATCCCCGGTACCAAAAAACCCCTAGGTGGTAATTACACAGGAAAGAAGAAAATGCTCAGGCAGTTTTGCTTGCTCCAAGTTCAGCTCTCACCCTGATGAAGATAGCTTGTCCAAGAAGATGGGGATTTTGCTGTCTTCTGAATGTTCACCCTAATGAACAAGACAGCCTCATTGTCCATAGTCACCACTCACTTGCCCAAGAGATCACCTTCATCTGGGTTCCACATCTCTGTCACTAGCCCTGAGAATAAAGCTTCCTCCTTCTGCCAATGTTTCAGAGTTTAGAAAGATTTCCCACTCAGATTAACCTGCATTGTACAGATATTTTGATCTTGCTGAAGTGAGTGAATGTTTAAAAGATACTGCACAATGCCTCAAATTCTAGAGTGGAAGGGATTCCTGGACCAGCACTTTCCAGCACCTACCTAAAGCCAAAAACCTTGGGAGCAAAACCCAAGTCAGCTATTCTCAGATTTCTGTGTGCTTGAGACTCACAAGGGTACTTGTTTAAAATGAAGATTTTGGGATGGGATTTAGCATAGTGGCACCGTGACTGCCTTGTAAGCACAAGGTTCTGAGTTCAATCACTGGTACCATAGATAGATAGATAGATAGATAGATAGATAGATAGATAGATAGATAGATAGATAAAAAGATTTCTGGGTCCCAACCAAAAGATCCTGGTTCAAAGGGTCTTAAACCTATCATCTTGTTAGAAGGGTAATGTATGAATGCTAAAATACAATTCTTAACTTTATTTTGGAATTTTACAATTGTACATACAGCAAATTAACATTTATAAATTTTACTTGTTTCATATCAACAGGGTATACAAGCAGACATTTGCTCCCATTTTATAGACAGACGGGACAAAGAGAGAGCATCAGCTGTTTCACAAGTCAGACCAACAAGAACCTGTGTAAAGTATGGAAACTATATTTCCCAAATTTCTTTTTTTCTTTTTTTGGTACTGGGGAGCGAACTTGGGCCCTTGTGCTTGCGAAGCAGGTGGTAGAATCACTGAGCCAAATCCCCGGTCCCCAAATTTCTTATGACAGAAGTCAGACCTGGATATAACATCCACTTGCCCAGATAGCAATTAATGTAATAATTAGCACTGGCTATCCACTTATAAAGTGCAGTTCAAACTAAGGGAAAGGACACAGTTTCAAAGCAAAGATACTTCCCTTTTCTTTCCCTTTTTTGAAACATAAGATAGTTTAAGGGAGAGAGAAATACAAGATTTTCTTGATCATATTTTAACCAACTCTTTATCTGTAAACTTCTGCACTCTAGGGAGAAATTCCAGCCTGTGTTCAGGCAGCTTCTGTGGTTTTAGTTGGGCAAACAGTGTCAACAATGGTGCTATGAGGTGCTGGGAGTTTGGAGGAGAAGTTCAGAACTCTCTTCACCCAGATGCCAGAAGGTTAACACTCTTGGGGCAACAGGGCAGGACTGGAGTAAGGAAGGGACAGTAGCAGCAATCCAAATATACTCCCCAGGTCTACACATCACACAAACCCTCTCCCCAGAAGGATTCCTGCAGTTCAGGCCAGAGGGTTGAGATGTGAGGTACAGACTTGACACCACGGAAATCTTGCAGAGCAGGCAGGCCCACGCTTCCTGTATCCTTCATATTCAGGGAACCTGAGTCTGAGCAAAGGGCACAGCACCTACCTAAAGCCAACAACCTCTGTGAGCAAAACCCAAGGAGCTGCAGCCAGAAGGCAGGCCCCCCAGGCCACTGTGTGACCACGCACACTCACTTGGTCGCCCCTCCACTGCCCTCATCATTGTCTGATGATGATGACGTAGAAGAGCCAGGGAAGTAGGTGGAATCCACATGATTGGGGCTACCGCCCTGGGCTGGGTTGATGGGTGAGGACCGCTCGTACAGTGGTGTGTGTTTCCCCTCGTGAGGAATGTTGCTGTAGCTGTTCTGTTCCGCCAGGTTCTTCCCGCCTGTCTCCAGGGTAAGAGCTGGTTCAGCCAGGCTGTACGGGTATGGACCATGGCCTGGAGCGCCCCCTGGGCTGGGCACCTGTGGGGCCTGAAACACAGCATAGGTCAGTGGGATGGTGGGGCCTGGTGCAGGCCTGGGCTGCCTCCTCCCCGATCAGTTTTGATTCCACAAACACTGGCACCTGTCTTATACATCAATTCAAGGATTTAAAATGCAACATCCAGGGTTCTCTGCCCTACCCACCTCAGGGGGTGCCTTACCACGGGCTTTGCTGGCAGCGAAGTCTGTGGAATGTTGAGCATCTGAGGGGGAACATATGGTGGCACCATCCCAGGCATTCCAAATGGATTTGGTCTGGCTGTTTCACCAAGATGGGAAGAAAATAATAAAACAACTGTGAAGAGAATGCCATCTCCCAGGATACCCATGAAGCCAGCCCAATGCTCATGTCTTGGACCCCCAGATGCTGACATCACTGCTCCTACCTTCCAGAGATCTTTAGAAACTGAGCTTTATTTAACATGTGGCTTCTGACTGGTGAAGTCAACAGAACCAGAAGCCTCAGCAGGTTCCCCTCAGCAGGGGACAAAATAAAGATACAACAATTTCGGGCTGGGGATTTAACTCAGTGGTTCCGCCTGCCTCGCAAGCGCAAGGTCCTGAGTTCAATCTACAGTACCAAAAAAAAAGATTCACTGCAGTCTGCCTTGTAAGCTCAAGGCCCCGAGTTCGATCCCCGGTACCAAACAAACAAACAAACAAACAAAAAAAGATACAACATTTTCTTGTATATTTGTAAAGCAAGAGAAATTTTGTATGTCAAGCACTTTGGAAAAAAATTATGATCTTAGCTAACTAGTAAGTTTTCAAGTATAAAACTGTGGTAGCTGCTGCCTATACTTTTTAGAGTTTTTAAAGTTGTTAAGCAAAACCACTATAAGGTTCCACATTTTACCACGTTTTAAAAGATGAATAATTTTGGGTTTTCTGCAGTTCTTTTTCATAAACCTGTTCTGCATAGGCCAGCATTTGCTAAGCACTACCCTCATTCTAACTTGTATTCTCAGAAGTGTCTGGATGGAAAGCAGTAAAGAACAGGTGAAACACAACAGCAGGAAGCCATAACAAGAGGAGGCCCTGTCAACCCCCCCGCCCCGCCACTCGTGGTGTCTAAAAGCGCAGGAGAGAATTTAGGGACCGATATCAGCTGACGATAAAAAGGAAACTAGTTCAGAGACAATACTTCAAGGAAACTATAGCTCAGCACCAGCCTTGAGGTGACATGAACAGGGTGCAACCCCCACAAAGGAACCTCAAAAAACCACCATAAGGAGGCACATGAAGAAGAGTACTATGCAGGCCCCTGGAGCTGCATTCTATCCTGAACAATCAGCCACTAAGTACCTATGGCAGGGCCTGGGGATACAACAAGCCCCAGAGGGTTCAAGACAAACTACCAAGGATGCCATGCAAACAAAGGCTGTACAGAGACACAACTGGCCCTAACAGGTCCTCAAGGCTGGATATGGCTTCTTCAACCTTCTATAAAAAGGGAACAAAACCAAGCCCAGAGCTCCCTAAACTCTACTTTCCATCTTTAAGCAGTAGAAGCACTCCTCTAACCTCTGACATAAACAGCTTTGAGCAAAGAAAGCACAACCCACAGCCACCACCTTTCACATAAAGTACTACCAAATAAACACAAAAAATCACCCAAGTCTTCCTCTTGTTCTCTGAGAGCAAACGTCCACTGCTGAGCTGATAAGAGGCTTTCTAAGCAATACAAGAAATGGCAAAACCAGGACTGTGAATGCCATCCTGGACACATCACTGTGATTCAGTAGAACCACAGCTTACTGAGAGTCAAAGCTCAGCCCACAGTGGTTAGGACAGAAGCACAGATCATTGCTTTTTTCTAACCCACGAAGATTCAAAACCTAACAAGATACATCCTACAGAGTTTTGAAATTCATGGATCTGTGGCTTTCAGGCTCTGAAACGCTACAGTCCTTTGATCCTGGCTCCCACTAAGAGGAAATCTTGGCACAGCCTCCACCTTTGTACTCACCAGAGAACACTGGCAGTATGAATTGCTGGCAATAGTGAAACGGGCACACGGATGCTTGCAACTCAGATGCACACACACTACATATCTGCATACACTACATTTGTGTAAAAGGAGCCATTCCTAATCAAGCAATATGCCCTCCAAATCTGCACCTCCAAACAAGAGGTGAGATTGCTGTGACTGTTAAAGGCTCATTCTCTGATGATTCTGAATCACTGCCAGATTCAGACCAAATACTCTTATAAAATTTAGCCAAGGTCTAATACTGTCATTTGAATTTCTATCAAAAGTCTTACTCACAATCTTTTATAGCTGACCTTCCATATCTAACTTTTTTGGGGGGTGGGGGGTACTGGGGATCAAACTTGGCCCTTGCACTTGTGCTTGCAATGCAGGCGGCGGAACCACTGAGCTAAATCCCTGGCCCAAATACAGAATCTTATCCTGCTGGCACAGAGAAATGCCTTGTACTGTACATGGAAAGCAGGTCCTGAGTCAACCTCCTGTTGCAGTTCATTCTGTAACATGTTTCCTGATGTCTTTATTTATTTATTTGGAACCAGGGATCGAACTTGAGACCTTGCTTTTATGAGACAGGTGGTGACACCACTGAGCTGAATGAATCCCCGACCTTTAACTTTTAAATAATAAAAATGAAAGGCTGGACTCATTGAGTAATGTAATGGCCACTTTCAATGAAGATTATCCTTTTTTGTTTATTCTACTTTTGGCCATTATATGCTAAAAATTTCCTTAAAGGACAACTTTCCTTTAAACAAGCAAACAAACAAACATTAGAGCATAAAACCAAATATTTCCCTGATGATTGTATTTTCTAAAATTGCACTGCAATGAATGACTTCCAACAAACTTTTTAATGACTCCACCGAGCAAATCACTAGTCTGTCCCAACAGCCCTACAACAACAGCTTTAATGTATCTACATTTTTCCTAAAGTCTGCAAAACTGCCGAATCACTCAGGCCTGCCTCAGCAGCCAGCAGGCCTTCCTCTCAATCAGTTCTTGTTCTCCATGCCATGTGCAGCTGAGCAGAACCAGTGTCTCCTTTCTCCACAAGAGCGTCTTTCTCAGAGGAGACACTGAGCTCACAGGGGAGCCAACATCACCAGTTCCCACTCTCCTTCTTTCACCAGCACATGGTAGAGAGGCAGGCTTTGTTAGAAAAGTAGGCAGACTGAAGACAGGCAAAGACAGGAGAGAAATGCAGAAAGAATGTTTAATTACTTTATTAAAATAATTTTTTAACTTTAAAAATACTTGTCAAACATTACGGATGCCTTTAGGAATGCACAGCAGTAGCCTCTGAGGTGCTGCTGACTTTTCTCCCTCCAAATCCAAGTGCTGCTCTGTGACCCACCCCCTCCAATGACTCATGGTGCCTACACAGAGCTGCCTGGCTTTTGCTCTCCATTCAAATAATTTTTAAAAGGAATAGTATTAAAGTAGACCCTCCTCTTAGAATTGCAGTGAGCCACACCTCTTCTAGTCCAACCTAACACTCTTCTATTAACCTAGCATGTCACTGCGAAGACACTGCCTTAAACAAACAGAATGATAAAAGTCACCTTTTTAAAAATTTTATAATGTAGACAAATGCTAATGTATAATTTTCTAGGATTACCCTAAAAATAGAGCTTTGAAAATTTTGACTCAAATAGTAAGTTAAAGGCTGGGGATTTAGCTCAGTGGTTCCACTGCCTGCCTTGCAAGCACAATGACCAGTTCGATCC